AGACTGGTGGGGAGAGGGTGGGTTCGATTGAGGTGTTTAAGATTGTAAAGGGAATTGATAGTGTTGATGCAACATCTTTTTTATATTTAACAATGAGAATAGTAGGACTAGAGGACACAAATATAAATTTTGGCAAGGTAGGAATCATCTTTAGCTAAGACAGTTTTATATTTCTAACAGGGTAGTTGGCTTTTGGAATGGGTTGCCTTTGGATGTTGTAGAGGCAGTAAATTTATGCGAGTTTAAGAAAAAGCTCGATAAGTATGTGAATGAACAGGGCTAGGTTTAAAATGTTTTAATTTGATTTTTTTAATCATTTTAATTTAGTTTGGAGGATGGAACAGCCGAGACGAACCAACAGGTCCCATGTTGTCCCTAAATACTGTTGTGTTATGTTAAAATCTTGTAAACACATTCTGATTGAGCCTATTTTAAATTGCAGTGCTAGTTATCTAACATTCCAAATATATAGCTAATATTCATTGATTCACCAAGTTCTATGTAGTCTCATCTTCATCTATACTTAATATGTTTCTCTAAAAAAAATAAAAAGCTGTGAAATCCTCATGATTAATTCTTTTGTTTTGTATCTTTCTGTTAATGAATTCCTAGACTGATTTTTGGTGACCCTACCCCCTGGCAAGAAATGTTACCTAATTTGTGTGAAAGACATGTGTTAAAATGAAAGGGTCAAAGGAGGATCTATAAGTGATAGTCACATTAGTTTGACATCTATTGTTAGCAAAGTGTTGGGATCCAGTGTCAGAGTTAATTTGGAAAAACTTGACATTTAATTAATGATTCTCCTGAAAGGTTTAGAAGACAATCTTCACCAAATAATTTGTGTTTTTAACAGAGTTTTCACTATATTTGAAGAAGGACAGCTTATTTGAAGTTGCACATTCTGACTTTTGAATACCCTTCAATCAGTTGCCTCCCAAAAGATTACTTAGTAAGATTGATGATCATGGAATTTGTGGAAAATTTAATAAGTGAATAAAAAATTGGCTTAACAGTAAAACAAAGCATGGTAGTAAATTGTAATTTTTCTGTGACTAATGGTGTTTTGTAGGGACAAATTTTTTGGGGACCTTTACAAGTACAGAGAAAAGCTGTTAGTCCAAATGAAAGACCTGTGTTAGCAGTAGTGAATGCTGTAAGGAAATTAATGCAGGTAAGAGAGGCTTCAATAAAATGAATGTTATTCTTAAATGAAATGCCTCTGACAAATTTGGTGACTGAGACAAAATTTCCCAAATGAATTGGGAAATTAAGAAGTGTAAAGTTAGGCACTTGGAATATGGAAGTTCAAATCTGGAAAGAAAACTTGTTAACTGGGAGAAGCATTGGTACTGTGGAGATAAATATAAGAGGATTTAAACGTGATTATTGAGCAAACACTAACGAAAGAAGCAGAGAGTTATGTACTCATTATACGTGAATTCAGAAAGAAAATATTTCTCAGCTGAGAGAAGCACATGTATTGTGAAAAAGAGGATTTAACTGTGATTAAGAAAACACAAATGACTTCTGCTCAGTGCTTGGCTGTGGTGAAAACAGTAAATAAAAATATTGGTTCTAATATTAGAACTTTGTTATTTACAAGCTAGAAGCTTATTTTAATCTTCAATAAGATCCAGTAAGGTCTTCTTTCTGATGTACTTACTAAGTTACTACAGGATTGCATTCCTATGTTAGAAAAGGCAGAAATGGGCTACTAGAAAGATACATAGTTCAAGTTGTTCAAGCTAAGTGTTTTATATTTATTTACTTTGAATATTGGATGAATTGGACTTGATTCAGATGTTCAAAATTGTTAGGAGATTCAACAATCTTTGGCTGGTTTATTTGAGTAGTTGAATGAGAAGGTTCGAAATACATTCCCAATCCTTTAAGCTTTTGTTAGTTATATGAATCTGAATGGTTATACTTAAGTTGTTCTTTTTTGGAGTAACCTCAATGAAATGAATGACCTGTAATCCTATTTTTTTTTAGATATCATTTTTATTTTTGAGCAACCCAAGATAATTCCTAGTTGTCACTATTCACTGTAAAGCTACCTATCTTTATATATATGGATATATATAGACTTACAATGCATAGTGATAAAATTATAATTACCTTGCTTTTTTTTTTTTAATTACAACAACATAAGAAAAGGCAAGCAAGGTTATATATATATATATATATAAACACGTACCCACTTTGAAGTCTCGTTCATTATCGGAATTAACCAGACAAATCTCTCCACACTTTGAAGTAACGTACATCTTTCCTTACCTTTCCTTTTGGCTGATCTGGACACAAGTAATGATGAAAAGGTGTCAGATCTTCTTCTGTCAACAAGTAATTACCCAACAAAGCTGCAAAGATGCAGAACCGATTCTCTTGAAGATTTAGATTTTGGGCAACCTCATTTAGAATGAATTCTTTTGTTTCAAGTGAGCCCTAGAAACCAAAACAATTGATTGTTTTAAAATTCATCCAGCCCATTTTATTTTTCAAAAATCAGAATGTTAATTTATTGCACCAATAAAAAACATTTGATCTATTTTACATTTTATTTAGTAAAAATATAAGATTTATTTTATAAACTTTATCATTTAAAAAAAAACATTGGAGGTTAATGTGTTAATGATAAAAGAAATATTTAAGAGTGGTTATTCAAAAAAACTTAACTTTCAGCTGAAAGTTGAATATTTTTGGGGTGATGTGATCCAAAAACAAATAATTCAAAATGTCTTTTATTCAAATAACTATTCAGTAAACTGAAAGTTAAAAGTTCAAGGGTCTACTTATAGAAATTTTGAACTTAAGAGTAAGAAAATTATAGTAAATTTATAAAAGGCTCTGGTAAGGCTTCATTTACTGTATGGTAATAATTTCAGTCATTGTAATACAGGAACTCTGAGGAGCTGTTGAGAGTAAAGGACATAATATTCTTTAACTCCGTGACACCAAAATTATCAAACGTTATAGATTATGATGTTTTTCTATAGAAGTAAGTGTTATTTTGGTATTATTAAAGTTCAGAATAATTATCTTGAGATATTTTAGTTATATCAGTTAGGATTGGACACTTGGGTTTTACTACTGCTAGGCTTAACATGGTGTTTTTAAGGTTATAAGATACTAAAGATATTAAATAATAGATTAAAGTATATAATTATCATAAATGTTAGATAAGTAAGGAGAATTTATTGATCCTATGTGTTGAAATAATTTCTACTACTTAGTAGCTGCTACAATTTTAATACGCAACTAAATTATTTAAATCATCAATTAGTCACATCTAATTAGAAAGATGGTGTACATTATAGCTGCCGTACTAGTAGTTAATAATATCAGTATTATTTAATACGGGATTTTAGCATTAACCTATAAACTGTGAAAGAGATCAATATTACATGTACAATTATTAGGCTGGAAATAGAGAATAAAGAGTACTAGTTTCAATATGATTAAAGGTAGTTCAGGGATAAGTATGGTGGAATTTATAGAATGCAAGAGATGCTAGGACTGGGTTAAACTGAAGAACTTTGGGCTTGGTTGTTACTTTAACGAGGCTCAGAAAAATACAGTACACTACACCTGCAGATTTTGCTTGCTCGATGACAAGTTAGAGATAATTTTGGAGAAGGTTTTAATCATACTGTTAGAGGGGAGGAAATAGCATATTGGGAGCAGAAATCGAGGAAGCAAGACAAGAAATGGATAGCTAGGGTAAAGGTTGCTTTAGAGGAGGGTGAGATGGAGAGTGCTGGGTTTACAACGGTACATTAGTAGTAATAATGGTTGGAGACGCCTTGAATGGGTAGTGAAGAAAAACTTTAATATAAGTTTAACATAACAGCAAATGTACAACGTTTCGACAAGGTTTTGTCATCATCAGGTACACATCATGTCGAAAAAAACCTTGTCGAAACGTTGTACATTTGCTGTTATGTTAAACTTATATTAAAGTTTTTCTTCACTACCCATTCAAGGCGTCTCCAA